CGGCTGGCGACCCCCAGGGGGAGGGCCTTCTCGGTGGGAGCCCCCACCCTCTGGAACGAACTACCCCCAGAGATCCGGGTGATCCCGGATCTCCCCTCCTTCCGCCGCGCCCTAAAGACATGGCTTTTCCAACAAGCGGGTTTGGCCTAGGGAATTTTAGTGGGGTTTTTAAGGGTAATTTTAACGATTGGCCTTTACGAATATTTTCTTTTAATTTGGTTTTAATATGGATATTTATTGTAATGTTGTTTTATAAGGCTGTTAGCCGCCCTGAGTCCGGTGAGGAGAAGGGCGGGATATAAATTAAATTATAAATAAATAAAAATAAATAAATAAAATATGGACAAAACAATTTAATTTTACAATATATACAAACACTTTCTTACAAAAGAGTTTCTCTTCTATCTTTAGCGTCTACATTTTTTCCTGTTTGTGGATAAAATAATGTTTACTCTGAATGTTTTCATTTTTTTGTCCCATGTATTCTCTGTGGAATGTGCTAAATGTAGATTTACCATGGCAGTTCACCTTTAATGTGAAGTTTTACCCACCTGACCCTTCACAATTAACAGAAGAAATCACCAGGTATGCTATTAAGCATTATTGAATTGAATTCCTACATTATTTAGGGTCTCTTGGAAAATCTGTAAAATGTTACATTTCATAAGCCTAAAAAAATGGCCAAATGCAGAAAAAGCTATTAGTTGTTATTGCTTTTCTCTGTGTTTGATTTCTAATATTTTTTGTAAATCAGGTATAGAAATGTATATACAAATAATTACTGCAAATAAATGTCATTTAGGAAAAACTAATCATTTAATGGTAATATTTTTATTGAAAAAAGAGGAACAAGTTAAAGCAGAAAAGCAACAATATTGAATCCATTGCAGGTATTCAAAACATAGATCATAACCTGGATAAGCCAGAGAGGAAACACTATTAAAAGAATACTTCAATAAATCATTTTTTAGCTGAATGAAGAGATTTCTTGGTAATAGAAAATGTTCTCATATGATGTAACTCTGACATTTCTATGGTTATGTTCTTTAATTAGAACCTTTATAACTTACACTTTATAACTTACACTTTCACGGAAATGTTTCTCAAAACATTTCAAGACAACTGCATGCAGTTTTTCATCTCATCTGCCAACAGAATAGTTTATTCTAGTTGTGTCCCAGTTAGGGAATATTTAGAACAGTTTAATTAGAGTCATATGATAATAGGTTTTTCTACATTTGCCTAAATATTAAGCAGCCTTTTCATGTGTAAAATGAAAAGGAATGAATATATATATACTTAAAAACTATAATACTTAAAAACTAGTAGTCAGAATAATTGCACTAAGGCTTCGCTGATAGTATAATTTCCAGCTTTATATGAGAAATAGGTTGTGTTTGGAGGTTTTTTGCAGTTATTAAAATATAACCTTTTATTATAAGTATTTTCTGTGTTTGCAGATTACTTTTTATGTAGATTTTTAAAATGTTAAAAATAGAGAAGAATATTAGGGTTATTGTGGGGAAAATAAAAGGAAGGCGTATTATGAATGTTCACTACCTTGAGTTATGTATAGAGTAATAAAGGGACTAGGATAAAAAGGTAAACAAATAAATAATATTTGTTAGACAATTATCATTGTTCTTTTTCCCCAGGTACTTTCTTTGTTTGCAGCTTCGTCAGGATATTGCTTCTGGACGTCTACCATGTTCTTTTGTGACCCATGCTCTACTTGGTTCATATACTTTACAAGCTGAGTTAGGTGACTTTGATCCTGAGGAGCATGATAGTGGTTACATACAGGAATTCCAGTTTGCACCTAACCAGACAAAAGAATTGGAGGAGAAAGTAGTAGAATTACACAAGACACACAGGTGCGTTATGTTCCAGTAAAACATATGGAAAAAAGTTCATAGGAACACAGGAACTTAAAAATGCAACATATTTTTCAGCTTCCATATGGTTATGAAATTATTTCTGAGTACTATTTGGAAATTTTAAAACAAAGATGACTAGAAACTAGGAATTCCCCCCCCCCATCTTGATTACATCACAGAAGCTCAACAGTACAAAAAAGATGTTCAATAATGCAGGAAGTACTATTTGAGACAAACATCTTTATTACTTCATAAAAGCAGTAGCCCTGGCTATTTTCATTTTGAGAGATAATACAGTTTGAATTCCTCAAGAGCAAGTTCAGTTCTTTTTTTCTTGCTTAAATAGTAGATGTTTGAAAAACACCAGGGCATTTCCCTTCATTG